GTTGAGTATTTATATCATTACTCCTATAATATACAATATATTACCTTTATGGACGTGTCCAATTTTAGAAAACCACATGAATCTATTTATTTATATTTTTTATTTGTATCTATTTTCAATCTAGTATGCATAATAAAAAATTATCTTCATAATTTACAATTAATTGTTATTATTAATTAGGCTAAAGAAGAAACGAAAGATCTATTGATTCCTCCAACCTAATTTGAGCATTAATGTACATAGATATTGCTAAATCTTTCACCCTCTAATTAACATATATATTTTTTATTTGATGATAATCTAATAGAACCAATTCGAGTAAAATAAGCTCAATTAAGATTTCCTTGCCCCCCAAATGATATAATAATTAATTTGTTCATGCAAATATAAGAAATTGATGAGTTGCATAGAAAAAAGGGAAATTAAGGGTAATTAATAGCTTGGCTACGAGTCTTGTTTGAGGTGGATAGCGCTCGTGAAGGCATCAACTCTTTTTGAATGGTAGTGACAGACAAACTCTTTTTGAATGGTAGTGACCATTGCTCCCATGTGTTAGGCCCCAAAATGCTTTGTTGTTTTCAGTATTTTTGTTTCCCAGTTAACATTAATGTAACAAGTAGGGCCGACGAAATGAGTGCATCATGATGGTGGGAGGGGAGGGAGGAAGGGCAGAATATGGACAAATATTTATGAGATAAATGGAAAGTTGAGCCTCCCCCATGCTAAAACGGGCAAGCAGCTTGCTAGAGCTAGACTCGAGTGGCCAAGTGGAATAAAAAGTTCAAAGTTGTCATCCACACATTCACATTGAATAGAGATGGCAGCATCCTTGCATAAGGCGGCCATATCTTTCTGAGCTTTAAACCTTGACGGCTCAGGCTGGCTGGCTGGCTAGGGTTTTGATGATCATCATTCTGTAGTGACCAGGTGGAGGCATGCATACGTGCGACACTTGTCTTCTAATGATTGTTCATGCACACTTGTAAGAATTGATCTCGTCTCCCTTCCAATCAGGAGCCCCAGCCTACCCTATTGGATCATTCCTCTCCATGTGTCACACTTTGGTCCCTTCTGCCCTGCCCACAGCCAGCCCAAGTGAAGGATCCCAAAACCATGTTTACATTTTTCTAAAGGAGTGCACGACATGTCAAGAAGTCGGTCATTTCAAGATATATATATATATATATATATATATATAGTGCACGACAGCACGACATGTCAAGAAGTCGGTCATTTCACGATATATATATATATA